AATATGAAAAATTCAAAGTCTGAAAAAAACCTCTTCATGTAAGGTATTCCACTGATTTTTCTGAAAATGAGTCAACAGACACACATTCAAAATAAKAATAATGTTGTACCCTAAGTCTTTAAAACTGATAGCAAGTTATGTATTAGTTAGCCAGGAGACTTGTGATTTTTTTTTWAAAAAATATTTGTTATGAACTATGTTTAATTAGTTAAGGAATGTTTGACTTTGATTTTAGCTGGTTTGATGTAGACCTGTGTTGGCTGAGTGTCACTAGAAAACCCAGACAAATTAACTCACTGCACCTACAGAAAGGAAGTTCATYGACCCTTTAGAGAACTTAACCAATAGCTGAAGAACAAAATTCAATAAAGAACTTTTCAATGGTTATRTAACCATTCAGAGATGAATTAGATGCCACAGAACAAGAACAGTATCTTGAGAAAGTTAAGGAGTCAAAGGTCTATACACCCCAGAAAACTTGATTAATACACTGCAGGTGCAGTAAGGGAGCCACTTCATMGACTTGTACATCCCAGAAAACTTAATCAATAGTAACTTGTAGGGAGTGTTAACAGTTTGTATGGGAATAAAATGCTATGTTTTTGGCTGTCTTGAGAAAAAGAAGATTGGAATGTAGAATTAATAATGCCAGTAGCTTACAATTATAAACATTACTAATACTGTAGCTTTTGCAAATTTACTAATCTTATACTGATGAGTAGAAAGTGACAGCTTCACTAACTAATGTATGTTTGACACAAATGTATGCACTAGTTGCTAAAGCAGATAAAAGAAGCCTGTCCCAGAATAAAGGAGTTACTTTTTGTGTGAGTATATGTGTATCTTTGTGTCTATTATTTTGTGTCGGCTGTCTGGCCAACAGCGACAGTAACTGGCTAATCAGGACAGCAAATTTAATAAAGCACTGTTTAGCTGGATAAAACTTGGGTTAGCCATTAAACAATAACAGATGAGATGCTCTGGTAGTAATAAAGGAAACAAAACACCTATACCATGATGCAATAAATTAAGCAGGCTTTTGGGAGTGTCTCTAAAAAATTTTGTATTTTGTAATGTGTAGAAATGTCTGAAAATGGTTTTTCTGAACATGCCTATGGCAAATAAATTCCCCAATGTGTTCCCAATTTTCACTCAAAATTGTTACTACGAATGTTCGTCTAACAGCTTTTTGCTGTTAAATTTAAAACCCTTCATTTCAYAATCTCTCCTATGCATACCAAAAATGTGAAGTGGTATTACTTTCACCCCACCTTAATTATAGTAAGTTATTGTAATTCCTATATCCTCTGGGGCAAATTAACTCCTGATACTTAATTCTGTGCTGTTTAATTACATTATGTGAGAATAACCCACTTTCCAAGATTTTCTTTAGAAAAGTGAACTTCTGATTTTAAGTTACTGTTGACCTGCCACTTCTGAGCTCTGTGGATAAATCCATCATTWCTCTTTCCTAGTCAATACTATTAATGATCTCTAATTTCAACATTTTATTCCAGACATTATTAAAGAGGAAGACACTGTAAATCTCCACAGTAAAAGTCTAACACTCAAAGCATTTTGTAAACCCACCCATGTAACCAGCACATAAACAATACTAGAAGCAGCATCACATTTCACACAATGCTTATACCAGATGAAAATAAAGTTCAGTTCTCAGGTTGAGATGTGACAGTAAAAYGGTACTTGATTTCAAAAGAACACAAGCAATTTCTCCCTTGCATTGAGAGTCCTCAGAAATATAACACCTCCAGTACAAATACATCCTAGCTGCCTTTTCCAGCCACCAAAGCCCTGGCCGATTTACAAGCAAGACATGCTCTGAACCACACCCCACCTGGCTCTAGGTGCACTTGATGGTGTCTCCCACCTTGATCCACACAGCCTCGCTGAGGAAGCTGAACGGCACGGGAGGGTTGTCAGCTGCGCGTTCCTCCAGACCTCTGAAGTCAACTGTATCCTTGGCAAGTCGGGGCGGTGTCCCAGTCTTGAGCCTGCCCACAGCAAATCCCAGTTTCTCCAGRGTGTGAGCCAGCCCGATGGCTGGCTGGTCCCCCAGCCGCCCAGCCGGGTGCATCTCCAGTCCGATGTGGATCATACCCCTCAGAAATGTACCGGTGGTCAGGATAACGCTCCCAGCACGTATGGTGCTCCCATCCCCTGAAACAGCAAGTTTTCAGAGATGCACACATTTTAGTATCAATAAAGCCCTGGTATTCTGGTGCTTCTGTCTTAAACTAGGCAAGCAGAGTTCACTCAGGATTTATCTGCCTTCTATTATAAAACAAAATCAGCAACTCAATAATAAAAGTATCAATAGTATCAACTACAATAAGCAGCATGTAATTATTTCTGTATATGTATTATTCCTAACCAAATCACCCCCAACAAAAAAAAAAAAACAAACACTCATGGGAAAAATCTATATCCAGGCTTGTTTTGTTTATCAGAATAGGAAGAGGTAATGAAGTCTGTTAGTAACAGGACCCCATGGTCCTGTAACACTGAGGGCAGCGTATGCCATTTACCAAATAAAATCTCAAAACGCAGCACGGAATTCAGTATCACTAGCCTGGAGAAAATTAACTTGGGTATCATCAMAGAACACAACCAATCTGGGTATTTTTGACATATTACTTTGTATTACACATATTAACCTCATTTAGTTCAGCTTTGCCTAAACCAGCTCTCTTGGCTAATTCATCTTTCTCACTAATGAATTTGAAATGCTTAATTCATCTTTTGCACTGATGACTCAGAAATATTTACCCCTCAGAAATATTGCTTAGTGTAGAGTAACTGAAACACTGAGTTAGTAGGACATACCCAGAACAACTCCTGTGACTTGGCATTTCCCAGGATGGCCTGGTTCCGGCTCTGTCAGGAGAAGATCCTCCACAGATGCCTCACGAACTGTCAACAGTGGTGTGTTAAGGATTTCTTTCTGTCATGAAAGGAGTTACTGCAAAAATCTAGGAAGTTATGACACATGTGGGCAATCCCAAACCTTGCTGATATCAGAAATTTTTACCAGCTCATTTAGCAGACACTCTATCAGGTGGAAGCTTTCATTCACATAAAGTTTTAGCTCAAATAAACTATTTGGTCATGAAGCCTGACCTGTATGTAAAACACGAGAAAACTTTTTAAACTATGCTGAKCTCCGACAACTTACACTGCAATAAAATGCCTAATAGAAAAGCACTTAGATTTGATAGGTAAATAAAGAAAACCAAAACAGAYCCCCTTCCTTCATAATCCTCAGCGGTGTATCCCGACGCCGCGGCGCCCTCACCTGCATGTTCTCCTTGTAGAGGCCGCGGTCGATCTGTGCTCGGAGGCCCCACACGGCCGGGCCCTTGCAGCGGTTCAGCACCTTGTAGTGAACGCCGGAGCGGTCGCACACGCGGCCGCACAGCCCGTCCAGGGCATCCACCTCCCGCATGAGGTGYCCCTTCCCGATGCCGCCGAAGGACGGGTTGCAGGACATTTCCCCTGGGTAAGGGACATAAGGACGTCCTCAGCACTGCCGCCACCCAAAGCTCCCGCGACCTGCCCGGCTCAGCGCCGCTCCGCACGCCGGAGACACCGAGGAGCCCGCGGTACCTTCCCCCGCCCACCCCGGGCACTCGCGGCCGTACCGATGGTGCCGATCCTGTGCGTGAGCAGCAGGGTCCGGGCCCCGCCGCGAGCGGCCGCCGCCGCCGCCTCCGTGCCCGCATGGCCCCCGCCGATCACCACCACCTCGAAGCGCGGCGCCGCCGCCGCCCCGACCTCGCTGCCCGCCCGGCGGTGCCCGGGGCGAGGCRCCGGGATCAGCGGCAGGCGGCGGCCGCCGCTCCGCAGGAACATGGCAGCAGGGCCGGCCCTCCCGGCAGCGTGAGCAGGAGGCGGAACGCCGCCG